GAGAGTCTGAGGAGTATCTGAGTTGGTAGTGTCAGGAGATGTAGTTACCAGCTGTGATCTTTCCTGTACCTACACTCCTGGCATGTATATTTTATTTTATTTTATTTATTTATTTATTTATTTATTTATTTATTTATTTTTCTGGTATTTTTTTGGTTCATTTCATTCTCCAAAACAGCAGAAAAGACACAGCCAAGAAATCACAGCTTTCTTTAGTTTTAGTGGGCTGAGTTGATTCACCAGAAGATGTGAGAACAGCTGGTGGTGCTGGTGAGAAAAGAGACAAGGCCAAACAAGTGAGAGTAGGAAGATATGAAGGTAAAAAAAGGGAACAAATGCCAAGAGGAGAATGGGGAGAATGAGACCTCCTCCTTTTGGTAGGGAACCATTAGATGGACTCAGCTACTAGTGGAACTGCAGTCTAGGCAATAAACGTTTTACTTTCAAATGCATAATGTTACAGTCTTAAGGATGAAGATAGCTGAATATAAAGTGAGGCTGTTCAGACGTGTTTTGTTACTGTGCTTTCAAAAAGAGTTACTGCTTGACTGGGCAGTTTCAAGTGCTTAGACTTATGCAGCAGTAATGGCACACTGAATATGTTTCACTTATAAGCTAGAACTTCAATCCAGAAAAAAAAAAAAAAAAAAAAAAACTTAAAAAACAAACAAACAAACAAACACTAATCTTTGTAGTGTTGTATAAAACCATTGCTCTGGTATGGTAAATAATGTGCCTAAGGGTATGAAGGTGTTCTGTTAGTAATAAAGAGTTTATCTGAAACTTCTGTTCCGTGTACGTGTGTGTATCAAGAATTTTGCCAGCCCCCATTCCTTTGTTCAACAGTGCAGTTGTCCATGTTTAAATCAAATGCGTTTATTTTTTATTATTTGAGTTCTTGGAAATAGAACAACAGCAAACTTTTAATTTTAAAAGTATCATTGAGTTTACAAACATTACATTTCTTTGTCTGGATAGGAGAGGGAGAGAGCATTTGGAAAATGGATGTAATTCCAAAAGCAATTTCTTTTATCACTTTTATCAAGTAATTTAGATTTCGTTGTGTCTTTTGTTGTTTTTCCCCTTATTTGAAGCATGAATACTTATTAAATGAGATACAGTAAGCATCAGTAATGAGGTAATAGGCTGATATAGGAAACTTTGCTTGTTCATTGCCATGACTGTGCATGTGCTTTTCCATGTCAGATAGAATAAGCACCTACAATTTAGCCAACAAGTTGCAAAGCAGGGGAGGTTGGGTCTAAGCTCACTAAACAAAAATCTATTCTAATTTCATCTTTAGTCTATAAGTCAATGAGTTAGACTAAATATTTGTTTTTTAAATGCATAAAACATAAGGGAAAAGCACAACAAAGTGGTTCTTACATTAATAGAGAATATGTCAAAATATACTGCAAATAAAAAGTAGATTGATCTTATCAAACTTTTTGAGGTTTAATTTGAAGCACTTTTGTCCTAGTCTGTTTGAGTGCTTTGTGAGTACACCTCACTCCTCTTGTTTTAAAGAGTATCATTTTGTTCTTTTGTCCTAACTTTCAGGTATGGATCTTTATTCCTTGAGTAGTTTGTTTCATTTTTTCCTTCTCATTTTACTTTGTGTGTTTAAAACCAGAAAGATAAGATATATTTGTCTTGCCTGCGCTTTATGCTGGCCTATATGCTTAGATACAGTTTATCTGATTTTGTATCAACAGTCTGTCTATATTACATCTTTATTTTCTTCCTGTGCTTTTTTTTTTTTTTTTTTTCCTCCTTTTTTGGTGTCATATCTCTACTACATTTATTGCTCTGTTTAGGAACGAACAACTTTGCATAGATGCAATTAAAATATTTCTATTATGTTAAACAGTAATGCTATCAATAATTCTAAAATGTGCATAGAAGTTGTATCCATGTAGACTTGCAATAGAAGATTACTGTCTCTTAGATCTTAATGCCGAGTCTTTAACTAGTGTAGTGCTACTCTGTCAATATAGTAGCAAGGCAGTTATACAAACAAACTTGGAACTAACAATGTCTATCTTTGTCAAGCCTGAAATTAGAAATTCTGTCAGCTCAGGGCATGTGTTAATGTACCCTAAAATTCCTTTGTTTAAGAATGGAAAGAATCTCCAAGTCTTTTACGGACACTGTGGGTCATTGCTTTTTAAGTTAATCTGCCTAACAGTATGAGTGGAGCTGTTAATGTGAAGGCACATCATGGTGAAGAAGGTAGTTCTGGCTAGGCAGGAATAGCTGCCACCCTGTTCTCCCAGGTATTACAAACACTTAACAAATACAGGAAATGTACTTTGCTAAAAGTAGTGCAGTGTGAAGATCAGCCATACTGATCATGGTATTTTTTGCTTCATTACTTGTCTCTCAAAGCATTTAACTCAGTTTGCTGGTTTAGATTGTAGTTTTAAATTGTATTCTTTTTTAGTATACCTTGTATAGAAGATGCTTGACAAATTTGTGTTGTGTTTGTGTTCGCTTGTGCAGTGAATCAAGGTTAAATGCTTTATGAAGCAAAACCTAATTCTGTGTGTTAGGTTTTTTTTCTATTCAATCTTGCTGCGTTTTCCATGAAGCAGTAGAACTTCAGTCACAAGTTTCAGTTCCTCGCAGATACTTACCAAAAGCTGTAGGCAAATAATGACAGTATCATGGCGCCCTTGAGAACTTGTAACAGTTGCATACTTTTTTCATAGAGATTTTCCTTTTGTTGTTCTTGTCACACTTCAAAAGATGTAAATATCATACGAAATTTTAGGAAACAGCATTTTTTTCCCACAGAGTTTGTATTATTGTGATCTGAAGTTCTACTATGCAGTGTATTTCATCTCTTCTAGTAAAATAGTATCTTAAGATGACAAGTTTTTGTGGGTATTTTTTGTTGTTATTTTTGCTTTTTTGATAATTTTGCAGTCAACACTTCAGATTTTGGTCAATGTAGATTTTTTGGTTTTTATAATTTTTGTCAAGAGGGCACATTTCTGAATTTACAATACAGTCCTTGAGAGGAAGCTTCATTCATTTAAAATACACTCTAGGACTTAGAAGACTTCAATCTGGGATTCCAGACGTCTGGTTTGGGCTCTCTTGAATACATATAGAAAGGTGCTGAATGTGTCCTGTTTCCACTGAGGTCAGAGAGATTTCCAAGACGAAGTCTGCTAAATTTCTGTATTACTTTAATTTTTCTATGAAGTTGATATAGTATTTATTAGCTACTTAAAGTCCTGTGTTAAAGTATAACTTAATTTTTCATTTATGCATTTGTTTACGTATTAGGTGTACAACCAAATTATTTTGTTAGAAAAGTGTTATCTTTTAAATAATTAAGATTAAAATAATTAAAAGAAATACAAAATTAGTAAAATTAAGAATTAAAATATTCAGAAGTAATAAAATGTTAAGAATACTTCAACATAACTTTCAACCTGTTTGTATGGATTTTGTTACTTGGAAGGTGTTAGCTCCTTCTAATGACCTTTTTTGTAAGTATTTTAAGAGGTGAACTTGTGCTAGTGAGACACATCTGTCTGTGCTGGAGATTGAAGTTTCTGAAATATGCTGATAATCCTTTATTGTATGTAGCAGAACAGTGATGACCTCTGTCCCGTAATCTGAAGAGTAAAATAATGGGACACTAACTAAACTGATAAGAGTTTTACAATTCTACAGAATGATCTCTTCAAACATGCTAGTTTCAGGTACTCAGACACTAGAATTAAAGAAAACATCTGAATAAAAAGTGATGTTTTCTGATTTTTTTTGTTGTTGTTTGTATCAAATCACAATTTAAAAGATGTTTTAATGGATTGTGTACAAATTACACATCAAGGAGAAAGGCAATTTAGCTTTTGGCACAGTGCTATGGTGCTTTTCTTTATGAAAAACTTACACAATACATAATATTTCTCTTGGAGTGGGCTTTTGAGCCCAAGTTAAGTGAATATTATACAACTTGCATGTAAAACCATGTCTTAAAATAATACACACGTAATTTGTAACAACAATAATTTAATGCAAAATGCACCTTGGATTGATTCAATTTGTTTTTGTAAGTAAACTTTAAGTCATGACATGGCCATCTTATGGTATATGTTGAACAACTGAATTCTTCAACCTCATCTCAACAAAGAGCCAACCTAGTCTGTCAGCAGTATACAAACAAGCTGTAGTAATATCAAAGAAGATATTCCTGGGGGTTTTTAAATACAATAAAAAATAAGATAGCAGAGATGATACAATGGTAAGAAAAAGATAAAACTTTAGGAACATTCAAACTAATCTGTTAATTCTACTGTTGGAGAGTGAAGTTCAGATCTGCTGAAACTGTTGGTGTGATTGAGGCATCCTTTCTTAGGGGCGTGTATATGTTTAGGGCAGCAGAAGTGGGAGAAGCATGAGGAAAGAAACTTGAGCTGTAGAAGCCACACTAAAAATCAACTGAAATCAAGAGCACTGATCTCTCAGTCCTCTCTTCTGGCCGTGTGTTGGGCCTTGTTTTGTCTTGATTCCTATGGAGTTAAGACATTAACTTTCGCTGGGTCTTGAAAGATTTATTCTTATTTCCTATTTTCCTACAATAAGATACTAAAAGGCGGCTAGAATTTAATTCCTCCCTCTCCCCCACAGAAAACGCTCACAGTTTCTACTTTTTTAATGCAATTAAAAATTAAAATTATTGTAACAGCCTGAAACAGTTTGTTTTCCAATTGAACTGATCACTTCTTACATTTTCTCTTGAGCTGTTTGCTGATCTGCAAATGTTTTTGGTTGTCTTTTTCAGCACTCTGGCAGCAGAGGTTCTCTATAATCAGTGATGGGGTGCCCAGATATGTGTAATTCACAGAAAGGTGCTCTTGATGCACAGGGGAAAAAAAAAAAAAAAAAAAAAAAAAAAAGTTGCTATGGATTTTAATGATTTTATCAAATAATATATCAAGATGTTGCCATGTCTAAGAATGCTGTTAAATTTTGTTTATGTGCAGGAACTTGACAAGAGGAGTTGGTAGATTTAGAGAATTACTAAGAGCTGTTGAAACAAGAACTACACAAAATCTGCGAATGGTAAGTCATTAAACCATGTTCCTATTGCAACTTCTGAATTCCAGTAGGTAGATGAAGCATAAAAATGAGCTAGGGACAAATAATCAAGCTACAGCGTATTGATCAGGATGTGTTATCTGCCATTTTGTAAAGGTACGTTTCTTGGTTGAAGTGATTTATTAAAGTAAAAACAGAATGCTTGATGACTGGTCTTCCCTAGTTCTTTGGTTTCTGACCAACAATGCTTTCAAACTTAGTCATAGTTGTCCAATTTGTGATTTGCTCTACTTTCACCAGGATATTATTTCATCTTTCTTGTAATGTAATGAGATTGAGGACAGTGTGCAGTGTCTTCATTTCTGTTCTTTAAGTTGGAAACTTCAAGTTATCATTTCTTTATTTTCATAATAAAGAAATCCTTCTTCAAGGGAAGGAAAAAAAGAAGACAAAATCTTACTATTGATACAGACATAAAATAAACCTCTACCAAATAAATGATTTATCTTTTTTTGCTTTTTTTTTTGGTATAACAAAGGGCCAAGGCTTGCATCTTTTGCTCTAAGGTAATGACATTTAAAATGTCTTAGATTAGTATTTTAATACTACACGTTTACGACTTCCAGAATAGTAATAAGGTAACGTGATTCTTAATGAATTTAATAATGAATGCCTAAAAAGCATATTTAAATTATTAAATGGCAGAATTTCAATGGAGAGGGATAATATTACAAATGTTAGGAAATAAATGGTATAGGAATTAATGTGAAAAATGTAGGTCATATGCTGCTGCTCATGGCTTGATCATTACACATTTATTCCTGGGAAATGCTGACAATTCTGATGTAAATGCTTGCCTTTTTTCTATTTTGCTGGTAGTAATCTGAGTTGTCATCATTTTCATATATACTTATGTAGCTTGTATGCTACATGACGGTAAACATTAAAGTGCAGATTAAATTGCTAGTTAAAGATTGTAGGATGACTTTTCAAAGCTTTAAATTATTATATAATATTTATGTAATTATTTTTTACTTAAATATTTGGTACTGGGAATTAGTGGTCAAAATAAATTTCTTCATGCTTATCTGCAGCGCGCTTTCACTCTTGCTAAACCTTACCAACGGCAACAAACACTAGCACCTTCAGGCCCTAGCTGTCAGAAGCCCAGATCAGTTTGGATCTGGATTATAGCTGTGGTGAGCTGCCAGACACCCACTGCTCTCTCGCTCGCTCTGCCTTATCAACAGGACAGGAACAAAAAGATAGAAAAGTTTGTGGGTTCAGATAAAGAACTTTACTGTCGTGGGCAAAGCAGATCTGACTTTGGGAAAACTAATGAAATTTATTGTCAGCTAAAACGGAATTGAATGGAGAGAAACAAAGGCAAAATCTAAAATACCCACCACCACCACCTTTTCCCAGGTTCAGCTTCACTTTTTCCTTCCTCACTCTTCTACCTCTTCTTCCTCAGCTGTGAGCAAGCAAGCACAGCAGTAATGGAAAAGGGGGAGCTGCAGTGTGTCCCTAGCGTTTGCTCTGTACTTCTTCATCTTTGTGTTTTCCCAGCACTCCTGTGTGGATCCTTCCCATGTGCTTCAGCAGTTCATTCAGGAAACAATTCCCTATCCCTGTGGCCTCTTTACATCATCTGTCCCATAGGCTCCAGGGAAATATTTGCAGAGGTTAGGAGAGGTAGAGCTTTCTGAGTATAAAATATAAAATACCCAGAAAAATACCTGAATGTGCTCCACTATTAGGAGCAACAGTTGATGGTATTTATACTTATGTGAACTGTAACAGGCAAAATTGAAGTTTGTTACTGCCATTTTTAGTTTGCATTTAGAGAATTTAAATGGGTACTTACGCCTTTCAAACAACAGCATGCCTGATATTTTGGATGCTTTAAAATAAAAGAAAATACATTCCACTTGACTAATATGCATTTAAAATAATCTGGTATTTTTGAAGAGACTGCATTCAGCATTTCAAAGGAAAATATTTATCTTCTGCTTTTACAGACGATAGCAAGACAACTGGCTGAAATTTTGTTACGAGGCATGTGTGAACAGAGTTATTGGAATCCACTGGAAGATCCTCCTGACCAATCGCCACTGGATGATCCACTTAGGAAAGGTTCAAATACAAAAAATTACACACTCAGTAGAAGACCACGGGTATATACTGGAGAAAAGTATGTCTGAATTCACACCTCTCTCTTCTGTTTCCATAAGTGCAATTGTTATCCGCTGCACTGCGTAATTTAGTTCATATGGTTGAAAATGCAGAAGGGATTGGGCAGTGTGAATGTTCTTTAGGCAGAAGTTTGCAGAGTGTCACGAGACCTTTTGTTCTCAATCCTCCAAATATCTTTTTATTCCATACTGAGGTACATGGTAGAGTTCTATATTATCTTTGAGATCTACAAGAAATCATAATATTTGTGGCTATCTTTCTGTCACCTTGAGCTACACAGCTTTGTGCTCTTCCACCTCTTCTGCTGTATGTATCACAAGTAGCTTTTCAAAATGGAAAGTTTCTGTCTAAATGTTTGAAAATAGCAGAATTGCAGCTTATGCTTCTGTGTGGTTTTGTTGTTTCTTTTTTTCCCCCCAAACAATCAGCTTTAGTAGAAGTGTTAAATATTTCTTAGAATCTGGACTTTTTAAATAGTTATAACTTGCTATTTGTATCTCCTGTGCTTTTGTCAAATCAAGTAATGAAATCTGAAAGATTTGGTAGTCATTGATTTTCATTTATAGTAAGTTTGATCCAACGAAACTTTGTTGCTTTCATATTATATGTAATGCGCAGTAAAATCTTGTTCATAAATTACTGGCTGACCTGTTCAAAGTCCTTGAGGGATCACCTTATTTAATGTAGCCAACAACCACTGCTTGCTTGCTGTGATATATGTTGGAAACACTGTGAGCCGGAAAACTGAGAAACAGAATTGTAGCAGTGAAAATAATTATCTAGGCAAAGTTATGATTTGTTCTAGTAGGACAGTGAGTGTTTTAATTTTTAATTGAGATAGAGAAGATTGAAATTCCATTTGAACTCAAGAAAACATCCTTTATAGAACTAGAAGAGGTTGCAGAGCCTCCATCGCTAGAGAAGGTCAAAATCCAACTGGACGCAGTCCTGAGCAATCTGCCAGCTGACCTTGCTTTGAGCAGAAAATCTGGACCAAACAATCTCCAGAGACCTTCCAATTTCAGCTATTCTAAGAAATTGGTGTGATTTGGGAATCTCCTTTGAGGAGGCTTTTACCTATTCTATGTGAAACTCTTGACTTTCTTTTCTCCAAAAAACTGACCCATATTTTTTTTGAGAATACTGTCCTTCTGTAGGCTTAAAAGCTAGGAATTGTGGGTTTTTGAATTTCAGACTTGTCTGAGTATATCTTGAATGTTAAGTCATTAAAGGCAGTGTTTTGAGCTGTTATGAGTATTTTGTTTACGTGGATTGATAGTGATAGGACAAAGGGGAATGGTTTAAAACTGAGATAGGGGAGATTTAGGTTAGATATTAGGAGAAAGTTTTTCACTCAGAGGGTGGTAACTCACTCTAACAGGTTGCCCAAGAAGGTTGTGGATTCCCCATCCCTGCAGGCATTCAACGCCAACCTGGACATGGCTCTGGGCAACCTGATCCAGTGGTTGGCAACCCTGCACATAGTGGGGGGTTGAAACTGGATGATCATTGTAATCCTTTTCAACCCAGGCCACTCTATGAAGTTACTAAATAAGGAAGTCTCTTTTACGATGAGTACATTTTCCCAAACATTCAAACAACTTCTTTGCTTCCCAAGTAAAGAAGAGTCAGTTCCTCTGTTACGGCATGTAGTAAATATTAAACTGTTTTCCCAGATTGTGACCTTTTTATTATTAGCTGCAGATTTATTATTTATTGCAGATCTCCATTTATGAACACTTTATATAGTAGTAGTCCCATGTAATTGTAGCACTATACCACATTGCTGCTACAAAGTAGAATGGCCTTTCTCTTCAAAGATTTTTAGCAATTCTGATTCCTCAGACCAGAACTCTTACAGCAGTCTACTCAGACTCAATCTTTCAAACTTATTTATATTCTTCATCATCAACTTATTCTTCTGTAGAAACAGAGCTCCTTTCGAAAGCGTGGCTTTGTCTAGTGTAATGTTTCTCTTCTTTGGAAATATAAGCAAGGAGTTCCACGATTTCAGCAGAGCGTGTAATTAAGTGCTTTTCTTTGGTCGCATCAAAGTGATTAATACCAGATCAGACAATGTGTCTAGATTAGTACCTTATCTTCAACAGTGATGAAAAGCAAGTACCTAAGACAAGAAATAGCAAGACTTAAAGGAGACTTCTTACTACATGCTCCCCTGACCTCCAGCTTTTTGAGTCAGAAATGTTCTGGTTTGTTTTAAATACAGTGCCTAATACATTATTTAGATGCATTCAGTTTTATTATTAAATCATTAAATGCATTCAGTCTTTTGAGGACAGTGAATGATGTTTGAAAAATATCATTTATGATTTTATAGATATCTGTTACACCCTTCTTCAGTTTTCTCCTCTGAGAGTTTCTTGTTGCTGACCTTTGAATCAGTGCTGCAGGTTCAGTTCATGTAGCTAGATGCCAACAGCTAGTTAAACCACAGGCTATATTTTTATAGTTGTGAAGTTATACTAAATTCTGGGATACTTGGATGTGTTCTTTAATACTTGACAGCCATGGTTGTTTTGTTTTCTTACAATATGTGGGTAATAATAGTGCTAGGAGGAGAGTTGGACTAGATAATCTTTATAGGTCCTTTCCAATCTTGTGATTCTGTGATTATATTTGTCAACTTTTCTGAAAAGTAAATGTAGAGAGCTGCAGATAAATGAATTCTAAGCAATTTTTAAAGTGTAATTTATCTATTGTGTTTTATGGATTTTTCCAGTTTTTACAGTACTCAGTCACGATATTTGTGTAAGCTACTCATAAAAGTAGAATTTTCTGCTTAAATAATTGAATTTTTGTTTTGAACAGCATCTTTTGTCCTCAAGAAAATACAGAAGAAGCCTTACTGTTGCTACTTATTAGTGAATCTATGGTAGGTAAAACAGTGGATGTGCAAATGTTGCCTGTGTTTGTGTGTATTCCGTTTTCTTTTTTAAATGAAAACATTTTTTGTCATGCCTTGCTTTTTGACTCGTGTTTCATTTTCTGTTAGGAAAACAGGCAGTTACTTCTGAAATTCAAGCTTCTGTTTCTCTGAAGCAGCAGGATGAGCTCTGCAGATGTTATGAGTAGGAGTTTTTTCTCCTGTAGAGTGACTGAACATAGCCTCCAAATTGTAGGCAGGTGAATACAAAGCCAGGTCTTTTCTCGTCACTTATCAATATGACCGCAGTTACACCAGCAGGTGTCATTCAGACAGACTCAAAATGTAAGTTGTTTTTTGTTGTAAAAACCAAAATCAAAGACTGCTAGGTAAGCCTAATAAGCATCACCAAAAAATATTTTCCATTGCTCATTAAAACTCAGATGTCAGTCGTATTTGTAAGTTATTTTTATTTATGCAGACATTTAGCCTTTTCTACTGGATTGTATTTCATTTTTTCAAGTTTCCTACTTTCCCCAGCAGGTAATTCCTTTCAGTGAACTACTTGTGCCTTTTAACAGTTTTTCATATTTTCCTGTAGCATGATTTTACTAGTTACCGAACCACTGCCATGTACTGACTTTCTCGTACCAGGTCAGTTTTACTATGTATTCTCAAATAACAGAAATGAAAAGCTTAGGCTCAAACCCTTGCTGAGTTTCTAGCTGGAGGGGTGGAACCTCTGGAATCTTAGGCACTGTATATGGGACTGTTCCACTGAACACCGATGGCACTTAGTCTTTAAGTTCCTTAGGTGAGATCTTTTACACTCTGGCAAAATTTCTAGTCTGTTAGTTAAGTAATATCAGAATAGTTTATTGAATGTTGTCCTATTTGAATTCCTTTAAAGTTGCTGGGTACACTTTAAAAGTAGTGCAAATTACTATCCTTACTCCTAGTGAGCTGCATTGTGATGTCACTAGAAAACTAGACTGAGCAAACGTTTCCATATACCATGTGTTGCTTTTGCTGCATCTGAAAGGGAACACGTGCCTCTTTAAGGTGCTTGAGCAGCTTATGACAACCTAAAGAAGAATTCTAATGTGAACAGCAGTCACAGTGTGAAGCAGAAGCATGCCCACTTCAGCAGCATCTGACTATCGATTACTGTATTTGCTGGAGTACTTTCTTGCATATCAGCACTAAGAAGTCAAAAAGATCCTTAACATAATGCTTTTTTAGCTCTTCTTTCAGGTAACTTACAGCTTTTCCTTTATGAATTAGATCTGTCTAAATTGGATGCTTATCATGGTAGAGCATTACACTCTTAGCAAACTTTCAGTAATCTCTTTATTGACAAGTGATTATTGCAAGTTATCTGAGGCACAAGTGTTAGCCTTAAAAATATTTATCGCTTCAAACTTGTCTTTGTGAGAGTTGCTTCCTGAGAGTTAAGAGCTCTTTGTTCAGCACTGTGTGCTAACTCTACCTGTAGTAGTCTTAAAGAACAGTGTGACTCATCATTTTCAAATTGGTATGTGAGTAAGAAATGATTACAAAATACTCATGAAACATTAGTATTTAGACATGGTCTTGTGTTATCAATATAGTATGATCTTTTACTTGTGAATTATTAAAAACACAAGGCTTCAGAACTTCTCTCCTTTAGGAAATTATTTAAGAAAATGCTGAAGAACAGAATGAGCGTCACATAGAAGTAACATTTTGTGTAAATAAAAACATTCACATCACTGTGCATATAACCCCCAAATCATACTTCTAGTTTCAGGGAAGTAATACACTCTAACATCATCACTTCTTATTTGCATTAGATCTAGTGCAACATACATCCAGAAAATTGAGTTCCCTTAATTTCTGAATTCAGATTGGATGCTTTAGTGGGTAAGATTTGAATTGTAATACATATGAAAGAAATGATGTGGGAAAGATAGTTATGTGCTTTTTAAGTATTCTAATTCTCTTGTAGGTACATTTCAGAGTACAAAATGTCTTTTAGCCACATGACTGCTGCTGCAGTTTACTGTCGTGTGTAATGAGGAAAGTCAGCTGCAACCCTGCCATCACTTATTGTAAGACGTTCTTGTATTTTAGCTGTTACACCTACAAACTGTAGATCAGCCTCTTCTTACCCAAGTTTGAATTTGTAGAAAGGTAGAATCTGAAGGGCTGGGAACTTCAAGTTACAATGGCAGTACTTGTTGCTGAATGTCAGCTGAGCTATAGTAACAGAATCAAGAGTGGTTGAGGTTGGAAATGAACTCTGGAGGTCATTTTGTCCAGTCCCGTGCTCAGGCAAAGCCATCTGTAGGTTTCCCAGTACAATGGCTTTTGAATATCTGCAAAGATGGAGTATCCTCAGTCACTCTGAGCAACTCATTCCAGTGTTCAATCACCATTGCAGTCAACAGAGAAAGTGTTTCCTAGTGTTTGGAGGGAACCTTCTGTTTCAGTTTGTGCCCACTTCCTCTTGTCCTGTCACTGAGCATCCACTTTCCAACTCAGCATCACTAAGGTTTTGAATTTGAGGAGGTTCCTGTGAGCCCATTTTGCCTGCCTGTCTAGGTCCCTCTAATTAGTAAGTAGCACAACCCATTAGTAGATCCACCTCCTAATTTTGTAACAGTAAACTTGCTGTGAGAGCACATTACACTCCATCATCCAGGTTGTTAATGAAGATGTTGGACAGGATTGAATCCAGTGTCACTCCCTAAAGCACGCTACTAGTTGCTGGGTAGCCTTTGCTTGAGAACTCCTCCCACACCTCACCGTATGTGTTTATCTCAGCTCACGCAAGAGAACAAAGTTATTCTACTCATATTTGCTTCAGGCTTAAAGCATGTATAGGGTAAGTGTAGCATACTGCAACTTAATTAATTTTCACTTAATTGTGTCTGAGACTTTAGCAGTTCTGAAACACTGAGCACTTAAAGTTTTAAGTACGTTGAACTGTTACGATTATGCAGAAAATGACTGTTCAGATATATAGCAATTAAAACTTACAAGGCATCCTGTCCCATAATACTGCTTTGGCATTGCCACCCGTTTCTTTGGAAGTGTTAGTTTAGGGCTTGTTCTGTGCTTGCAAGGAAAGGAATTGAATCAGTGATTAAACGTGGAGTTAAAAAGGAAGAAGTTCTTGAATCTGACAAAGTATTTATGCAGTGTGGAAAGAAAAAGCCAAAGTCATCTTGATGAGAAGAAAGCACTGTGCCTGTTTCGGGTTGGAAGGAGGGGGTAGGGGGAATGAAGTTCAAACCAGTCAGTCTGTGGATTGTTCAGCTGATAAATCTTGAAATGTCTGTGCATTTTATACTCTGAGTATCTCCTTGAAATTTTCTTTCTGTATTTAACTACACCGATTTTAAAGATTTATTTTTTTAGTATGACCAGAGCGTAAAATGTTTTCCTATTATAGCAAAAAAAAAATTTATGGGTGCTTGATATGTGTTACTCCTCCCCTCTGAAAAAGGGATGAAACAAACTCTCCATTTTAATTTAATGTATTTAAATAAACATATAAGGGAGGCCATACCATGTCTAATTAAAGAAAAAGAAAAAGAAAAGGCAGAGGAGAGGTGAAGAGAGAGGAGGACTGGCTGACTTCAAGCAACCAAATATAATAGCGTTTTTGTCAGTAGGAATATTAACAATCAAAAAATCTGGAAATGGAGAAGATGTCAAGATAACATATTTTCAGAGAGTTGATGGTATAGTTGGAGAAATACTGAGTAAATGAGCATTAGCTCCTGGGAAACTTGAATTTTGTTTTTTGCTCTTTGGCAGGATTTCTTTTTGAATATGGTCAACTCATTTAACCAGCTCTAGTTTAATTTATGCCCTTCTGAAAAGACAAAGCAAGGGCTTAGACTTGTGATGTGCATTTCACAGAAGTCTTGAAAGTACAAAGATGTATTGCAAACAAGAGCTGAGTCTGAACCTGTGCTTGGAACAACGGGCAGTTTTCATTTCTCATTAATAATTCCTGAAGGCGATTGCATGGTTAATCTGGGCAAGTGAGAAGGTAGTGTCATAATGTCATGAAGACAAAAGAAATTGATTGGTTCATTTCACAAAAAGATGAAGTGGAAGATTTGAAGATTCTTCTCATATGTTTTACTTGCCTACAAAACAATAAATTAAATTTTAGAAGATGGATATACATTATATTTTAAAACATACTGTCTTTGGTTTCTGAGAACTCTCATAATTTATGTAATTAGAATCAAGTAATGAAAAGTAAATATGTGTAGAAACCCAAATCTTTCAGCTAAAGTGATTGAGGCTGTCTATAAATCAGTAACTGGTACTTTCTCTCCGTATCACCTATGCCAGCTGTTGACAGTCAATCTGATCATAATGATAGTTATTTGAGCAAGATTAAGGCTGAATTCAATGTCTGACTTGATTTCTTTTTGTTATGTTTCAGGCTAACCGTGATGCTGTTCTAAGCAGAATACCAGAACACAAAAATGATCGTATCATCAGTTTGCAAAGTGCATCTGTAGTATATGATTTGCTTACTATAGCCTTGGGAAGAAGAGGCCAATATGAAATGCTCTCAGAGGTTTGTCCATAGTGGTGAATACTGAACTGTATCTTTGTTTTTTTTTTCTGTTAATCTTATTAATTGTATTAGTACATTAGGGTTAAACAAATAAAGGATTCTTTCATATACTACATGGGTAGTTTCAACCCCCATTATGTACTGTCTGAATTTTCACAAGGTTCTCAAGCACAGAAATGTTGAAAGATGTGAGAAATGTTTAATGGCACAGCAGTTCACATGCTTTTTGGTTGGCGAGGCATGGATCTGCTTAAATAGATGCACATCAGATAGCTCAGCTGACAGTGCTGAGGTACTACAAGGAAAGCAATGTTTATAGTCCTTTGCCTTTTGGTTCTTCCACTTCTCTTGGCCTGGAGGATTTAGTTGCTTCTTATTTTGAATTCTCTTTCAAAGTTAAGGGGATGCCAAACTTAATTTTTAAACTGTACTTATTTGAATATATTCCTATAAGCCTTATTAATGTGTATTTGTAATAAGAGCTAAATATTACTGGTTGGAGGCTTTTTCTAATGGATAGGTCACCAGTATTAATACCTAGAAAAAGGATTTGTGAGGTTTTCTTTCAAAACAAGACTGACTTGTACATTTCATAAAATTTGGAGTGTTCCAACTTCCTGATAGTTTCTAAAATGATTTTGGAATTAATAAAGGGGAATGTATTACTTTTTTAGGTCAGTGGGAAAGTGCATTCCCTGCCTCAAATGTCTTGTGTTTGTTAGACTGTGGCAACTGGATACTTTTAGGAAATTTTCAAGTATTGTTTCATACCTGAGAAACAACCTGCCCAGCCACTCTTTGGGCTAAGCAGAGCTCCTGCTACTGAAAACAATGCTTACCCAGCAGCAGAATGCTGTCAGTGACCAGTATTAGTTAGTGGTGTCCAGAAGGAATACTTCAGCATGTGTGGTAAGCAGGTATACTCAGGGATTGACTTACTTAGAAATTATATCTGTTCACTGTAATACAGAATTATTCTAATAGGATAAAAATAAAACTATTTTTAATAATGAAAGTTCACTCATAAAAGTCTTTTTCTGATGTATGTTGATAGTGACACTATGATATCAAGTTCTGAATTTGAGTGTTCTTCCTCTTGAAAGCATTTTATAGTTGTATGTTGTGCGTTAGTACAATAGAAGGTCTTTTCTGAATCTAAAGAATATGAAAGTTCACCGAGACTCTGATCCTACAGTAGAACATAATCATGTTATGAAGACCTGGTCCAAGTGGCAATTCTTATTTTGCATACAGATACTCTGGATACAAACAACTCCAGCAGGAACTTGTCAGGGAATGATTAGAACACCCAATTTGTTCCAGGTCTTGTCATTGAAAGAACAAAGAAAGCATAAACTTTAAGAGGTCGTTACAGCTCAGTGAGTGGTTGGAGAGTGACTTGCCCTTAGATCCTGTGACCCGCAGCCTGCAGCTTTTATAAGCATTACATTCAATGCAAATTCAGAAGTGTTAACATAACATTGCTAAGTTATGTAACAGGAATGTAATTTTTTTGCCAGCTTTATTCTCTTTGAGTTAGTGATGATTGTTCTATGGAGCAGTTGCAGCTGCATGTCAGAAAATACCATTAGTCTATCTAACTGTGGAAATTGACCAGTTCTAGTATTTTTTTTAATCTTCTGGTTAAGTTGTAGCTGATTACTTATAGAAAAAAATACAATGCAAGAACATTAAATGAGCAAAAATTTGTCACATCTGTGTTATTCTAGTAAGTTATTCTACTATTCTAATGCTGAGTCATGGTTGAGGAGATGTTATTTCATTATGGAGTTTGTACACAATAGGCTTTCAGTTATGGCTTTTTTAACTAGATCAAAGAACTTTCTGCTGTCATAAATCTCTTCTTAAAGACAGGAAATCTGGCTGTCATCAGATTGTTTTTTAAGCTTCTTAGGATATGACATGTTGGACTTTATCAGTGTCCTACCAGGGAAGAAATTTTCCAGACCAGAAATTTTCCTAGGTACTCATCTTTCAAATCTCTAGCTTCAAGCACGTTTCTTTTAGAAGACTATAAAGCTGAACAACAGAATTCAGTAATGCTTTCAAGATTACCTGTCCATATGGTGATTTCTCCGTATCAAGAGTTACATTTCTGCCTTTCAGGAGAGGGATTATGCTAAATGTTCAACTGCTTGAGTTGGTTGCCATTACATTATCTTGAAAGTTAACTTTCAGTTTTCCATGGTACTATGACTTGTTATGTATTTCTTATTGACACCTTCATGAAGTCAATTCCTTTGAATTTGGGATTTCTTAGTTCAGAAACACTCCTTTTACAAGATTTTCATGTTGCTGGATAAATCACCTATGTAAATGTAATACGTATACAATGCTTACAACTCTTGCCTTGTACTAATAGTTTTGTGAAATAATGAAGAAAAGACCATGCAACCTTATATATATATAAGATTATATCTACAGCTGTACTATATCTATATCTACCTTATATCTATAAGATTGTAAAATCTTATAGAGAATAGTCAAGTATGTAACCAACCTTTTAGTTTCAAATGTTTTCTTCTTAGACAGTACTACTGGAGTTGTGTTGAAATAAAGGCTCTCAGGCAGTGCTTGCTCAAGCCATCTGGAAAACCCTTTCATATGTTGGTGTATGATTCTTTCCTTTTTTGGGGATTTTCCTAACAGGGCAGATTCTTGCTAACAAGGCAGACTCTTCCTAATTCAAAGGTATAGAAAATAGTTATGGTATCCTGGAATTCATGAATCCCAATTTATTTTAGACTTAAAGGAGTATGTCTGTGATATCTTCCTGTAGCTGAGGATTTTTAAAGAGCTTATCCTTTTGCAGATTCTCTGATGTCCAGAACTGTTGTGGATATTTATTTCTATTATCAAGCAAGAATCTTTTGTAGGTCCATCTCCTACTGGCTTCTTACCTTTGTGAAGTATGCAGGAGTTTAAAAGGGAGGGACAAAACTGTTAAGGAAATAATAGATCTTGTTTCCCTAAGTGGTCAGACTCAGAATTAGTATTCATAGTTTATGGTGCTTTCCAGCCATTTCTTCCAAAGCGTTAATAATTCTCATCTGATATGTTTACGTAGCGGCCAGAATCATTGATTTGATTTTTCTTGCTTCAGTTGTCATAGATAGTTTACTATTATTATTATTGTTATTCAAATCGAGCATTATTTAAATTTTCTAGGTGTTGACTAGCTTATTTCTACATGAGCACAACCTAAATATTAGGTTAAACTGATTCTTTAATTTCCATTCACTGGAAAGTCCTTCAATGCTTTAAGATCAGTCAAGAAGCACCATAAGTCAGATAAATGAGAGGCAGAATTCTCTGTTTTATGTAGTTCTTCCTCACTTCCTCATTGTCATTGTCACTCTCTTCCTTTTGCTCAAGTTCCCTAAAGAAAAGAAAAGCAGTTGATGATAGAGAGTTAAATATATTTCTAAGGCAAACTCAGAAAGCAAAGATAGAGACCTTCGGTGTTGAGGTGTTGTCTGTGATGAAATACCCTCTTGTCCTTAATATCATCCAGCAGGATTGTTTCTAAATGAAGTTGTGTTAATACTTCCAGAATGGAAGTTAAGCACAGTAAAATGCAGTCAAAGTATTTGTTTTTCTAACTGCCACACTATTTTTGTAGTCAAAGACAAGTATGTGACTGAATTGCCAAGTGCTGTTAGCAAAGAGCTCCTGTCCAGCATGTCACTATCTGCTCTCACTTTGTCAGAGTCGTGTCTCACTAGCATGAGAGTGTTTTGGAACAGCAGTGATCTGGAGGCTGGACAGCAAAGAGCAGTACATAGTTCATTAATTAGTATGCTGAAACACAGTCCTAGAATTCTCTACAAATGGAAGACCTTTGCGTTCTTTGTTCTTGTACTTTGTTTTTATTATTTTGTTACTGTCAAATTCTACAACTTCAGATACAATCTTCCATCAGTTAAAATGGGCAATTAATTTTCAATTAAGCAAAAAAAGAAAAAAAAAGAGTATTTGAAACACATAAGGTTGAATTCATCCTTCTTCATTTAGAAGCACTCAGATGAGGACTACAGTTGTACTAATCAGTGGAGACAGAGACAGGTTTAGCAACTGCTGTTTTGTGCCAGCTCCATGCATGGAGGAGGTGAATTGTGCCTCACCTGGACATCTCTGTCAAATATCCAAAGTAATAGGAAATGAATCCACATGCAGCTTATTTGATTTCTGTTCTTTTAACTTCCAATGATGAAAAAAAAATCAATGCGTTGTCTTAATAGATATTTAACCTGATACACATAAATACTAATTATGAACATTTTAAACACTTAGAAAGGGTTTGTTTTAGGAAACTTCTGTCCCTGTATTGTCATTTAATAAAAATACTGTTTAGAAATAGTCTTGATGCTGAACGCTGTACAGTAGGAAAAGTTATAGCTGACATTAGGTATACATACATACATATACATATTTTCTTTTGTTTTTCATCCTCAGAGCTATTCTTTGCTTCAGCTCTTGTTGTTATGTAGCAATACACTACTTAACTGTCTGTTCTTCCAGAATCTGAATGCAAAAAATAATTCATGCTATTGCTATATAACATACATATTATAACTATTAGAGCAGAAAAGCTGCTTCCTTAATTGGACTTTGCAGACTGGAAAGTTCATTGCTAAAACAGTTTAATCCAGAGAAATATTCAACCTTTCAACTCTTTGGACCTGATCTGATTAGTTAAACTGAGTATAGTAAAATGAAATTTTTCTTACTGATAGCAGCGGATATGAAACCTTCAAAGTTAGCATATAATGCTAATGTGATATACTAAATCTAGTATAGTAATAATGAATTTCCTATTGGCGTTCAGTTATTAAATAAAAAAAATCAGCAGAATATTTAGTGTGATAAGTTAAAATTCTTAGAAATAATATTCTTGGGTGAACTTTCCCTCATCTCTTAAGTAGTACCAATAAGTATGTATGGTGCCACTGCTGGACAAGTGTTCACAGTTTACAGTGTGTGTCCATGTACAGTTTTACTTTGCATTTAATGTTCCTCTTGCCTCTTGGAGCTTTTGCTCCCAATACCTTCATTTAAGAGTAAACTGACTGAAATCTCTCATTCTTTCTGTCAAACTAAGCAGGATAGTGCAGATAGGTATATCTAAATATACTATATCAGAAATAAAGTTTTTGTTCAAGTTTGTTTCCTTCCATATGCAATCTGTCAGCTGTTTTCACTTATTTAAATAATTCAAATTTGTGATAATGTGGGGTTTAGGTGTTTATCTATAAGAAATTTTATACTACTATATCGTAATAATCAAAGAATATGCCCTTAATAAACAATGTTCTCCTCAAAACTAGTGTTTAGAAAGAGCCATGAAGTTTGCGTTTGAAGAATTCCATCTCTGGTATCAATTTGCATTGTCCTTGATGGCAGCAGGAAAAGTAAGTCTTAATTTTTGGATTTTTTTTTTTTTTTTTTTTTTTTTTATGGCTTTTGATAACAATGTTTGGCACTTTCATAATTTTTCATCTGCAGTGTTTTTGAAAATAATTCCTTAAATAATCCAACTCACTGTATTTGTGAATTTTGCCTGGTGCTATAGAAAGATGTAACAATCCTTTCAATATTTTCTAATTCATGAGGACTGAAAGCTGATGGTCAGAGCAGTCTAGACATCAAGCTTAAGCTAAGTTAAACAAACACAGTAGTGTTTTATACCAGAACACATTTTCCAGGAACGTCTTTGTTCAAGTACTGTTTTGATGAACCAAGTTTAAGCCAAGCTACAGATGATTGCTGATTCATGATGCTCCTGTTCTTTTTCCTTTGTGAATTTCTGTGTGTTTCTTTTTTTTTTTTTTTAACTGTTGTTTTAGTATCCTATGCAAGTGAAGTGGGATATGTTATTTTAATTCTTAAAACTAGCAGCTGATGTTATCAGATGCAGTTTTCCATTTTCAGTTCCTTTTGATTAATTATTCTTGCCATTCTCTGTTCACTTAAAATTCTCTTTTGAACTGTGAGCGGATAGAGGAAAATAAATTAAAGAAGAGCAGTGACAGTCTGTTATAAAGTCCTGTACCATATCTATGACTGCCTGCATTCTGGCTCTTCCATTTGCCTTGCTGAAATGCTGTGAGCTTGCAGGCCTAGCAAACCTTTAAATGTACCTATTGAAATTGTGTTCTGAGCAAATATGTCTGCTGGAACGCTTAGTTGTATTTCATAAGGGAAAAAAACGAGAGCAGCAATTACAGTCATGTGTTTCACTTGCGTGAGTTGAGGCACATTTTTGCAAACTATTTGCTATTGGCTCCTTTGCTTACGGGAAAAATAGAGACAGTAATGGAAACAGGAATCTTATATCTGTGAAACATAGTTATGCTTTTAGTAATTTCAATGAAAAATGTTTTTAACAGTCTGCTCGAGCTGTTAAGGTCTTGAAGGAATGTATTCGTTTGAAACCAGATGATGCAACTATTCCTCTCCTTGCTGCAAAGCTCTGTATGGGATCTCTCCACTGGGTAAGCTTTGCCACTGTTTTTTGTTTGTTTGTTTGTTTTTTCAGCAAGAGCTGACATAAATGCAAGAAAATGTTGGATTAGAGATGTAGCAGATACTTTTGCACAGTGATTACTAGATCATCACTGAAGATACATCTCAGATAAGTGTATGCACATGTGCATTCCTGTTCGTATGGCTTGAAAATACTTGACAGCGATGGTTGTGATTAACCACATAGCATATCTTGATACTCATCTAAGATACATCTAAAGTGAATTACAAATTTAAGTGTTGGCAGACAGAGATGAAAAATTTAACTGACTTCTGTTTCTTCTGTGCAAGAGGAAAATAACTATCTTGAGAAGTGAACGGGACAAACCTCTCTTAATTTTTCAAGATGCTCTACTGTTGATACTATGTTTGGAGATAGCTGGTGGTTATGAGCTCTTAGAAGGGGCAGTGTCTTTTTAAAAAGTGTTACCTGTGTTTTGGATAGCCTTGAAATTAGTGTATCTGTATGAAAAACATTCAGGTGATTGAAGATGTGGTATTTCAGAATACACATATAACTTTAAGAACATTATTTCAGAAAGGATGAGAAGAAAAAAGGAAGGTCACAATCAGAAACTGAGAAAATAGCTCAGTAGTTGTTATGGGACTTGTTCAGGCTGACAAAAGTACCGTCTTAGTAATTAACATAGATTCTATAGATTCAACTTCTTTGATTGTTTTCCTATGGATTGACTCAATATGTAACTTGCTGTACTTAGGATTTACATTTACTAGCACAGATTCAAACTTCTTTTTTTTTTTTTCAAGTCTGTTGGATAGCATGGTAGCCTGGGCATGCAGTTAAAACCCTGGTCATTTATGTGTCTATGAGTTTGAATACATTTAGCAGTGCTGTATGTGATGCAGGGATCTGCATGGCTATATGTTTTTTTTGCACAGTTGTAGAATCATGGCTTTTTTAATTGATTTTCATTTTAAAAAAAAAGGTTGACAGAGTAAAATCTCTGATTAAATATGAAGTGCAAAAAATTGTAGATGGTATATAGAGCAGAAATGCCATTTTATTTTTTAAAAGTTGAAAACACAGCGTCTGGGCATTATGTACCAGTATTTCTCTCAACCATAAGAGTGAGTGCTTCAGCATTCTTAAATCTGCATTCTACATTGTTGATTTAGCAAGAAAACGTAGGTTTAATGAAAAGGAAAATAGTCCTTACAGTGACTACGACTGAGATCGTGACATTCTTGGTAAGCGTAAATAAACATGCTGTGCATTCTTCACATTATGTAAGCTTTAGCTACTTTTAGACTTATGTGGATGTTTTATAATATTTTCAGTTGGAAGAAGCAGAAAGATTTGCTGAAACAGTTGTTGATCTTGGAGACAAAACGTCTGAGTTCAAAGCAAAAGGATACTTGGCACTAGGATTGACGTACAGTCTGCAGGCTACTGATGGTAAGATAAGAATAAACACATCTGGAAATTCTCATGTTGCTTAAAGAAGGATACCGAGAGAGTGCTAAACTTAATATTAAGCTTCTGTGTGCAACCATTTTTCTCAGTCCATGTATTATCACTACTTCAGTAAGCATGTGGAATGTAAACCCTTGATCTTGTACATCACTGATTAAATATATCCTTTTCAGCATCTTTGCGAGGGATGCAAGAGGTCTTGCAGAGAAAGGCTCTTCTTGCATTTCAGAGGTGAGTGGATATTAATCTTTTCATTTCATTCTGCTAATGTAGGAAAAAGCTTTATTTTATGTTGGAGAGGGACTTGTAAAAGACTATGGAATTAGGTTTTCTACTCTGGGAGTTATTCTTCATGAACACAGAACGTATTTCTTTAACATTCATTCCATCGTTTTCTGCCAGAAATGTAAAAATCTATTCATAAGGATTTCCTTTTATTTCATTTTAAAGACACTTGTATGATTCTGCAGTATAAAATATTTGCTTAAAGGAGTATTCTGTTCTGATCTAGAAGGGAAAAATGATATGGTGCGAAGTTTTAAGTCATGGTTCAATATGACTGTTTCTAGAAGAGGTACTTGCTGATTAGATTATACAGCAGGTTTTTGAAATTTATGCCTATAGAGGCAAAATGATTGAGGACCTGCTGCTGTGGATGAGAGGTGAAGTGCAAGTAGTAAGTTAGGAAAATAATTATTTTTTATGTGGAGATTTAATAGTGTAGGTAATGACATCGCAAATGCACCCATCTTTGAAGTGTTTTACATGGAAGTAATACTGATGGATATGATAATAGCTGATTATCAACAGTTCGAACTCTACAAATGATGAACAGGCTTCAGCATGTATCATGGTGTTGCTAGTTGTTTGTTTTGATGATTTAGGTAGAGGATGTTACTGAAAGTTTGTTACGGCTCCGAATAAATTATGCTCTACTTAGCAGAATCATACCCACTTTCTCTCACAGTTCTTTATTTAAAGAATATTTTTTTTGAGGAGATAGAAATTGAAATTCTCCATTCATCTCCTACACAGTTTAAAGATCAAGCGATTGTACTGGGATCAGTATTTTGATTTGTCAAAGTGTTGGTTTTGTTTATTTCATTTTTGTGGTGTTGGTTCTTGTTTGTTTTGTTTGTTTGTTTGCCTTTAATTGTTTACATAAAGGACGTATTCCTGAAGAAATACAGGTTTCTGCTGGGAACTTAGTGCTGGTTTCCAAGGCCACCAGTTCACTAGCCATTTGAGAAGGCTTTTTTTGCTATCTTTCTGCACTGGTGAGGGGGTGTTTGTTTCACTGGCTTCGTTTGGAAGACTTTCAGTGCTTTTCCTGTGGCTGGTGTGAATTGAAGTTTCACAGAACTCACCAAATTTGTGATAGATAGTAACAGCTTTATTCTGTCACTAGCTGAAGCTTGGTGACTGAACTAGTACTCTTTAAGATCCAATCTCTCCTTTTCAGAGTCACTTAGTCTTGATTGATTCTTGAATTAAAAAAGAAAACAAAACAAAAAGAAATTGCAGCAGCCACCACTGGTTCTTTAAAGAAATATTCAATAAAATAAGAAGCAGCCCCCTAGTAAGTTAAACTACATTGATACGTGTTGATACAGTTGTTAAACTACTGGAGTTATCTCTTTGAACTTGAGAAGACATGATTGCGCAATTCAGAAGCAGAAGGTTTGTGATTGTAATATATTCTAAAGGATTTTGTTCTCTGCCTATAAAGAAGACTGATCATATATTCTGAAGATGATTATTACACATACTAGTTCTACCTGAGCCTACGTTATAAGAATGCATTGAAATGTAGTTCCATCCGTGCTGCCCAGTGTTTAATGCACATAATTTTGGGGTACAGTCATCAATTGTTTTGTATCTATGTTAAAGTTCCCTGACTCCTCCCAAAAAGAAAAACAGAAAACCCATACCTGTGCTCAAAGGCAAGCACCTTATTGTGAAGGGGAATGGCTGTATGGACTGTTTTCTGTGGGATTTGTGTCAATACGAACAAGTCAAATCTGACCTACAGTTGTAATATGGTTTGTTGTGGTTGGACTTGATGATATTGAAGGTCTTTTCCAATCTGAGCAATTCTATGATTCTATGACCTAAACACTCAAAACAAAAACAAAATAAAACAAGAAAACTTCAAAAAATGTGGAAAAACATTATTTCTTTTGGTAATTTATGTTACTTGCAACTACAGTAATTACCAGTACTCCAGGAATTAATAAGCACAGAAACGCTGCTGAGATTGGAAAGCTCAACAAAAGCTTTTTTTGAACAGGAGTTATTTATAAAACAATCATCAGCATAGCTTTCTTCATCTGACCTTCAAACATAGGTACATGATAAACCATCCAACATAGGTTTCTTTTACATTGCTACATAGCAAAGTACTCTTCTAATTTAGTATTAAAAAAAAATCAGAGCCTTCCTAGGAGGCTTAGTATGCTGAAAATGTCCTTAAACTTTGGGAGTTTAAAGAAATAAATCTCAGATCTACTTTACTACTCTTGGTCTTCAAGTTCTGTGCTTCAGAACTATCCTGATTAGGGTTAATGCAAATGCTCGAGTAATTCTCCTGTAGATTGTATCATTCTTGTCTTTGACAGCACATCCTTACAATATGTATGTATTTCTTACCTGTATTAATAGGATAAAAGATTTACAGTTTTGTTTCTCTGTTTTTTTTTTCAGGGCTCACAGTTTGTCTCCAACAGATCATCTGGCAGCGTTTTACTTGGCACTGCAGCTTGCCATATCCAGACAGGTTAGTGCTCTTTTGAAGGTGCAATGTCTCATTATCACTTAAACTTTAAGACTTATATCTGCTGATTGGATACAGGTGAAGATTTTTTTTTTTTCAATAAAATCCTGGTTTTCTTTGTGCATATATGCATGTATATATATATGTGTGTGTGTGTGTGTGTGTGTATGTTTTTTTTTAATAGAAAAAAAGGAAACATTCTTTCTCAACACCTTTGGTTTTTCATACTTCTCTGGACTTCTACCACAGTATTTCCAGCCCTAGGATCAGAAATAAGACATGTGAAATTCAGTTGTTTTGTTTTTTTCAGCCTTTATATTGCTGGGCAGAGAGCAAGAAAATTCAAATTTGAGAGCACATCCACACAATACGTCTATTACGCGTAAACTATGCTTACAAATTATCAAGGGAATGAAACTACTGAATCTAGCTTTTGAGAATCTTAGATAATGCACAAGTCTGCAGCATCTGCTAAGATGTGTGTCTTTTCAGAATGCTTGTAGAAGGTTTGTGAACAACATTACAAAATATGTTTAAAATGATAACTAGTAAGACTTTTAAAGCTATAAAAAAGATCAAAGCTGAGTTTAATTTGAAAAGCTCTTAAATGTAAGGAAGATAAGTGTTCTACCAGGTACCACAAGAATTTTGGATAATGCAAAATTGCTTTGTATATGACATAAGTCTTTCCTTTGTCTATTTTGTTTTGGGTAGCAGTTATGTAAATGGTAGTTGACACAATCTTGGTGACTGCTTTTCATTGCTAATGAGCAGCAGAGACGTTAAGCAAAGTCAGAGTGAAATGGATTGCCCCGTTAATATCACGTACTGTTCTTCAAGTAGCAAGCTATGATTGTATTTCTGAATTCTGGATTTCTGCTGTTGCTCAGTTAGTTTTCCTGGTTTTAACACTTTACTTCGAGTAGAAACACAGGTACCACAGTAGATCACGAAATTTTGTGTGAAGAGAATTTACTGTGGCAGTCTAGCTGTACGTTTTGTTAGTGTATTACAAATAAAATATTTAAAAACCATATAAAAATACAGTCAATATTTGAAAAAAAAGTATTTATTTATATATAGGTTAACATTTTAAAGGGCTAAAGTGAAGGGGGTTGTTTTTTTTTTTTTTCAACTTGCAACTTATTTTCCATAGTTAATATAGTTTTCAATTTTTACAATTCATTTTTGAGCATTTGGGTCTATTTTTAAACTTCTGAGTAATGTTCTGAAGGTGTCAGTAGAATTCAACATGATATCTTGGTGAACAGTATAGAAACATTAGGTGCAAGTAATGAAGTGTTAAGCAATATTTCTAGTAGATGCTTTTTTAATAAAAAACTTTTTTTTAATAGTGCTTTCTTTTTCTGCTTTCTGTTGATTTTATCAGATACCAGAAGCTTTGGGTTATGTTCGTCAGGCTCTGCAGCTACAAGGGGATGATGCCAACTCTCTTCATCTCCTTGCACTTTTGCTATCAGCCCAGAAACACTACCATGATGCTTTGAACATCATTGATATGGCCCTGAGTGAATACCCAGAAAATTTTATGTGAGTAAATGTCATGTTTAATTTGTATGCTTTCCCTCTTTCTTTTTCTTTTTTTTTTTTTTAATATTCTTACATCATTAATTTTGAGAGAGGATAGATTTGAAATCGGTCTATTTTTTACTTATTTTTCCCCCAATATTATTTTCCCCTGATTGTAATACATTAGCAAACATCCTGTTCCTTGATGTTGAATGCCACCTTTTTGTTGTCTGTAAGAATTATTGCTGCCTTTTTCTTCATAAATTTGACCAGGACCTTAGTTGATACAGTTGATAGCTTTATAGCCTTCTGATATTTCACATTTTCCTCTTCATCTATTGAATTGACTGTGTTCTCATTAGGTGCTTCCACTCATTTCAGAATTTCAGAACTATCTAGCTATTCTTCTCCTAGACTTGTTTATACTCTGAGGGATCTCTGCCAGTAAATCCTGGTTTGAGAGGAAATTGAAGTATCAGCTACCTAATTTTATATCCTACCATTTTTAAAAACAAACATGATCAAAGCACTGCAGTCTGTCATCTTCTACCTGTTTTTGGTTCATCTTCTGCTACTTAGTGATGATGTAAATTGCAAAGAACAAGCTGCTATTTCTCTCAGAATCATTAATGATCTAGAAGAAGTATTTCTGAAATTACAGCTCTCCCTGTTTTAGTGAGAAAACAAAGGATCATTCAAAACATACTTATGGGCTTTAAATATATGGTCAATGTCCTCTCTGTACTTGTTTAGGTTTATAACTACATTTTGTGGCTAAGCCTTTTGCCTGAGTTGTCTGATCTTTCTAAAGTTCTGATCTTTCTGATAATGTAAGTATGTATGTGAATGATACGGGTTCCTAATGGTGGTTCTGAATTGTTCATCTTGTATGGTGCAAACACAATGGTAAAATAGTGTACTACCTAAAAACCTACTGGAGCTCTAGAGAGGAATATCTTTCTAACAGGCATTTCCATCAAATAAACAACAATTGCTGAAGAATTCAATATACATTTCTAGACAGTCTTTTAGCATCTTCTCTTTAGTGCTGTCAGGTTGATTCTGGTTCCTAAGAAGTCAAGGTAATGACTGAGATTCTCTGTGTGCTCTCTGCAGTTATTGCTGACAGCAGCCAGCCCTATCTGGTCAATAAGATAAATTTGGATTGACTTCTTCATGTAACTGGATTATTTTTGTAAGGATTTATCAGCACGACCTCAAGTTTACAATCTGTTCTTGCACTCAATATCTGGTGCTGTTTATATAGTTGTCAATATGTATGTGTGTGTATATAAAACATAAATGCTTAGTTTATTCTTAAGTCTATTATCTTAGACTGCAACTTTTGTATAAGATATGATCTCATAGTACTTCCTAGCAGACTGAGAAGTGATCCTCTTGTGTATATCTGAGGCTTGCTCATTTTTAGTTAAACTTTTGATTATTTCCTGTTGATATTCATTGGCTTTTGTAAAAATTTCAAATATCATCATATTTTGCCTTTAGTTTTTCAGTTATGTCTGAACCCCTGCAAAGTGCAAGGCTTTTCTTGGTATTCTCTATATTTAGTCAATATCCATTATCGCAGTTTTATGCAAAATTTGTATTATTTGTAGATTCACAGTGTAATGAATCACTGTACTTGGAAAACACTGAAGTAAAACACAGTGCTTGTGTTTTGTGTTTCTTCTTTTGTTGTTATTCTTATCCATCTACCTCTGCATGGTATACTTGCATTTTTTCTCTGAGTATTCCTCTGCCCTCCTCACAGCTGTATGTTCTATTTTGGTGAAAAGATTCTAAATTTTCAAAAGTTTATTAATGCTCTGTATTTGTGAAATTCTACACGTGTAAAGAAATAATAGAACACACTCTGAGAAATGGATATTTTAAAGCATTTTCCTGTTGTAATCACTTAATAAATGTGTTATGTGTCAGTTTTTAACCTTTTAGAGCTGCTATTGCCAGAATTGTTTCATGTTCAGCATTTGAAGAATACTGTGGGCATACCATCGTATCTTGAATTATTGTTAACTTTCCTGTACTATAGAGCTTGAAAGTTGCTGAGCAAGTATAACTTGATTAGATTACCATCTGGCTCCATTCATCTTTAGGTCAGTATACAGAAAGGAATTTAACAGAGCCAAAGAGTTCTGCCCCATCTTAATCTAAAGGAGTGGAAGACATTAACAAATGTCACACTGTGCTGTTAATAGCAAGATACAGATTTATTTTTCAAAAGACAGTTAAGTGTTCTTTCTTTGTCCATTATATTGTCAGCATAAATTTGCAGTCTGGGCTGAGACCTTAAGGAGTAAGGGAACAAACTATTGGAGAAAACATAATAAACCTGTAGAAGTGAAATAGGTATGTACTAATGTTTTCTAGAAATAGTCAAATACAAGATATCTGCTGAGTAACTCTAGCACTGTTCGCTCAAACTTACTGTATACTGTAAGTTTACTGTGAACGAGACTGAGTACCTTGCTCTGATGAAATGGGTAAGAGTAAGGTGCCAGCACCAAAAAAATCCAAATAGTTAATCTCAGTCAGGTCCTAAGGCATTTGAATTCATCAGAGGTGTAACTTCAGAAGATATGACCTCCCATATTTTATTAGACAACTTGTCCTTGCAGTAGAAATGCAAAGTTCAGTTCTCCTTCATCTGGCAGGATTTATAGACACAGATGATGCTCAGTCCTAGCCATCAAACTCTATAGAAGACTGGTGAGGTGACCCTCTTGAAAACAAGAAAAATATGAGAGCAGGCTAGAAGGAGCCACAATATATCCTAAACTACTAAAGTAGTTAACTATGAGGATGTAGGTAGTGAGTTTTTTGCTGTTTGGATTTGCCTTGAATTTTATTTATTTCAAGCTAATGGTTACTTTAAGTATGTAAGCAGTCCTAGAGGTGTGCATTAGTCTGAAGGTGTATTCAGTATGATGCCAGCTAGTGCTTGTTGAGTTGCGTTGATACTGGGGGTACTTGCCTTCCCTCCATTTATTTCCCTCAACATCAGCTATGGAGCACTACTTGTGATAACTGCATCTTTGCAGTTAAACCAACAGGGCATATAACTCTTACAGTTCATTGGTAAAACCCAAGGTAATAGCTATACTTAGTTATTTTAAAGTCAAGCTAATATACTGAGTTAATGTTTTGAACTCTGTTCTCTGACAGAGAAAAGCCAAAATGCTTTGGACACTTCGTGTTGGTGAGAAGCATATTGGTTAAATAAACAATGCCTAAATTTCTTGGGAAGAGAACATTTTGGAAGTAAATCCAATCCTTCAGTTGCTAAGAGATTTCTGGCTTTTTATAAGTGAGCACTGCTCCATAATTAACTTTTATATCTCATGCACAGGTCTATGTTGAGGAGCCTATTAGTGACCTCCTTTCCATGACACTTTCTTGTCTTTTTACCCTTGTTATGAGCCTAAATCTTAATGCTTTTTTTTTTCCCACTAGTATGAAATCTTCAAATAACACTTCTGTTCTACCTCGTGATTAGTCAAAAGTAGTTTTTCAATAAAGAGTGACAGGGCTAGGTGACATATTTATGATACTGTTTTTTTGTCTTAGCTTTTTTAGGTTCTCTGTCATTATTTCAAGTGTTGGTGCAGTTAAAGATAAGTATTGTGCCTGAAATTAGTATAACAAAGCAAAATAAATATTGAATATTAATTGATAATTTTATGCTGAAAATTGAGAACTGCAATGGATAACAGCTGACAAACTTTTGAAGTAGGAGAAGTAGGAAACAGCAGATGGGTTATTTGAGGAGTGTAAGCATGATATTTTAATGTTAAGTACGCTCAAAAAGGAAAGACATATGGTAACAGGTTTGAAGACAGCTAAAGATTAAGTTCACAGTTTAAACATTTACATTTGTTGAAGTGTGATGGGCTATTTTTTTTTTTTTCCAAGAATCTTTCGTAGAAGCATCAAGCCAGTGTATCATTCTTCACTAAAAAGTATTCTTTCATTACTGACTCTGCAGGACTCCAGAGCTACAGTAAATATCTCAGAATTGCAAATCATTGATTAGCAGATTTCTTGTTGTCCAAGTAGGCGTAACATAAGAGCTACTGGTACCTGGAGTGTATGATGATACACTCATAGCTGTTTTGTGGAGAGGGATGTATTTATCAATTAGAGGGAATAGATTGCACCAGTTTATTTTGCCAAGGTTGGGAATAATTGCACTGTTATGTGTGATGTTGGATGAACTGGCACTTTTTTTTTTTTTCTTGATAAGTAGAGCACGGGGAATTCTTTGAGAAAAGTGCAGTAATGTATGAATGGACAAAGAGCAGCAGTCACCTGTTGGCCTTGCCAAAGTCATGTGTCTGGGAAGGCTGTTGTATGCATCCTTGTCAACTTCCGACACAAAGTTTTTTCAAATCCAGTTAATTTTGGTCTTTTCTGTTTTGGGCATAAGTTTGTTCTCAGGAATGATATTTCTGTAAGTCTCGAAGTTTTTAGTTCTTAGTCACGAATAGTATAGCATAGTTTAGTTGGAAGGGACCTTACAAAGGTCATCGGATCCAACTGCCTGACCACTTCAGGGATAACCACACGTTCGAGCATATTAATGAGGCCATTATTCAAATGCCTTTTGAACACTGACAGGCATGAGGCATTAACCACCTCACTTTGGAAGCCTGTGCCAGTGTCTGACCAGCCTCAAATAAGTAAATATTCCAAATATCCAGTCTGAGCTCTTTGTTGTTCCCATCCTGCCATTGATTCCCAGGCACAGAGCCCCCTGCCTTCCTCTGCTTCCCCTTCTCAGGGAGTTGCAGGGAGCACCAGTGCTTCTGTTTTTTCTTTCCATAATGTCTTTGTTTGTCTGTTGTGTGTGCTTTATATTAGCTGTTATTATGTGCTTTTACCAACTGGTTGACTAACCAAGGAGCTGTTGATAGGCAGATATTCTCTTATGTAACAGATTTGTCATTATCCTTCGGGCATTATCCTTGACTGTTATATTTGCTTGGCATGGCTAGGCTGTAGAT